GGTCTCACAAAATTCCTCAGCGATCAGCATTACATCATGATCACATTTACAAGAATACAAACTTTTGCCTTCGATGTAAGGGGTACCCACTATCTTCAAGGGCGGTGGCGAATGGTGATGATAGTCACAATGATTAATGCTTTGAAGTTCGATGCAAGAGCTATTTTTTCTCGTCAATTCGCGTCAACTTTTTGTGCTATAACCCATACTTTTTTCTCGAGTCAAAAAGCAGTCGACAACTTGTCTGAAGAAGACCAAAATTATAGCAAAGCTGCAAAGCGGAACGCCCCGTCACACCTTACCTGTCCTCCGTCCCCCGGTTTTCTTGCATTCGTCCTTCACTTGGCCAAAAAGCCAAAACTTTTTAAAGAAATTTTTATTTTTTTTTCGCTTGTTTAAAGGCTAATATTATTATTATTAGGTGCTCGTAGTACCTCAACATTTCCCACTGTCTTTTACAAGTTTCTAACAACTCCTAAAATTAAGTGGCAGAATTTTTGTTTGTATCAAAATTCAATATTAGAGTTGTACAACTAAAAAGAAAGTGCGATTGGTCCAGTTAATTATGTCAACGTTCTGACATAACTAACAGTCCAACATTTCACTTTCGTTTCTTGGAAATTTTTTTTTGGGTGACTCTTTTGCCCCCAAATGATTAATCTTTTTCTTGGGCCATTTAATTAGATAACATATTTAAATCCTATTTGATAATCCAATTCAGTAATTAAAGTTAATGGATTCAAATCTTAACATATTCAGACCGTTTGATAACTAAAAACTGAACATTTGAATTAATTAAGTGGCACTGAATTTTTTAGAAAAAAACTTGCTCTCTAAATTAAGTAATAAACTGTTCACTTATCATTGAATATGATATAGACTCAAATGTATTAGATTTAGTATAATAATTTAATATTTTCAATTTTCAATTTTATCAAACGCACACTTAATACAAGCCTAAACGGCCTCCAAAAAGTGGCATGGTGGCAATGAAGTCTCTCGGCTTACGCAAGCTAATTGAGGGGATGTTTAAACCGGTAGTTTGGATGGGAGTGTTTTTCAAAAACTAGTTTTTCAAATACAATAAAAATTTTTAAAAAGTACTCTAAAAATTAGTTTAAATTTTTTTAAAATTTTAAAAAATATCTCAAAATATATTCTAGAAACTCTTCTACTCTTAAATATCCCAAAATATTTTTTGAAAATATCCCAAAATATAATCTAAAAACTCTGCTACAATAAAAATTTTTAAAAACACCACAAAAAACAGCTAATCCAAACAGCTAAGTTGATACCTAGAGCATGCTCCTGTCGCTGAACAAAAATCTATTATTATTTTTATTCATAGTATACTACTAATTGGAAACATATATATCTTGAGGGAAAGGGGATTAGATCAGTATTTTAATTTTTTTTCCTAAATCGAATATCATTTTCACGAAGGCACGATATAAAAATGTTGAAAAACGAGGGGTCCTTAGATCAGTATTTAAAATTTTTTTTCCTAAATCGAATATCATTTTCACGAAGGCACGATACAAAAGTGTTGAAAAACGAGGGGTGGGGGTGGCCGTCCGTTTTTTGTTGGTTTCATGTCATCCAAGGGGATGCCATGGGTCACGTCCACATTATTATTTATTTATTAGCAAATGGACTGACTTGTTAGATAGAGCTGCAGAAAATCAAGAAAAAGTGAGAGCTGAGGTCCGTCCTCATCATCCAATTGCTTGTCCCATCCTCTGTTATTTTGGCTGAAAAGAGCATCGTGTTCTCGTCTGCCTGTCATTACACGGATGGATGCTGGGCTTTGTTTATCAACTTTGTTGCATTAAACACATCGAAATCCATCGATAAAACCCAGGTGCAGCTTTCTGTTTCTTCTCACAGCTAGCTAACTGATGCAGCATCTTAAAGACTGCTCACTGCTTTAAAAATCTTTAAATTTTGGTCTGTGGCTTCAGAAAGAAAAATTCTTTTTGACTAGAAATTTAGAGGGCAACATACATACGGTTTGATATTCCCACTCCTGTCTTCTTGTTGTTTATTGAGATTTAGCCGGACTGGTTCTTTGTAATTTTGTGATCTTTCTTTCTGCCCATTGAAGATATATAGCCGATCATGATTCCAATCTATTCCTATATATATAAATGAAACAAATACTGGAATGTGTGCATGTGTGTGTGTTTGTGTCATTAATAAAAATTGGGCTCCTCAGAAGCGGAGTGAAAAATTTTTAGGATCATGGACGCGTCAATCTGAAAAAGTTTTCTCAAAATACGTGGTATAAAGTAGAAGTGCAGACGAGTTGTATTGAGTCGAACTTTGGACTAATCGTGCCGATCCTCCAACTAATTTTATGAAACTCGAACTCAAACTCAAAATATCTCGATTCATTTGCAATCCTAGTATAAAGTTCAATTTTGTCTCCTCACTGAAAAGAAAAAGAATGAACATTAATCATCTCCCATCGGTTGCCCGTTATCACGTAACGTAGGACTGAAATTGCGGCCATAATCCAAAATTTTGCCTCATCAATGACAACAAATATAGCAGAGTTGCGCCATTGATTTTTAAGAAATGCTCAGAACCGCAAAAGCTTCTTGTTTTTCTTTCTCAAAATGTGCTCATCAATTTTTGGCTGGGCGCGGATGACTGTTCTTACCAGCAACTCAGTGATGAGTTGAAAAGAAGCTCTAGCTTTCCATGCCGCAAACAATTTTGTATCGTGTCATTCATTGAAAGAAACAATTCTGCACTACGAATTATTAGTTTGGAGAGTTCGATCGTTTGGATTGCATTAGGACACTTCAGTTTTAAGGGTTAAAAATATTAATGGGATTGTTTGGTACCTTTGCATTTGCTTTTCGCGACCACTCATACAAGAACATGGACGCCCAAACATCCAGACAACGCCCATTAATGAATGGTGCTAGGCCAAGTACAACTCATTTAATTCCCCTCGGACCTGGTGGAGAATGCTTGAATTCCAGAAGCAGAAGTATTAAACGTCAGACATTTGGACCACGGAAAGAAAAAATCACAAAATGAATTGTTTTGTTGTTGCCAAGTATCACCAAGACGCAAATTGTGGGTAATAAACAGAGTAAGAAACGGTGGTATTTCTTGCAAAGAAACTGCTCAAGTGCAAAGAAATTGAAAAAAAAAAAAAAAAAATGTCCCCCGCTCTTTTTTGTTTAACGGAAACAATAAACCTATTCTATTCTACGCTAAAGGGAGGGGACGAATCTGAAGGGGTCCAAGGGTAACTTGAAGGGAACTGAACCACCACCGAATCAGAATAATGCATCACGCACCTATGAATTTTTTAAGCAAAACCACTTAATATGCCAACTTGCCTCCCTCCCACTCTACCAAACTTTAATGCTTCGTTAGTGGCGACCAGGTCAAAGGCTGGTGGTTTTCTCTCCTGCTGTTTTTTTCAGCAACTGAAAATAACACACACACACGTACTCAATTAAAACAAACACAAGAGTTTACCGAAAGAACGCCCGAAAGCAATTTAAGAGGACCCATGAAGAACCCACGTTCTCTGCTGGCTTCTGCTATATTTTTATTCCCTGTACCATACAGTATACGCGACTGTACTACACCGGCGCCTGTCTGTGGATAATGATAATATGCATTTTTCTTGCTTGACATTATTTGGGATGTCAACGTCCTGCTGGCCCGTCAGTGCACATCAAATGTTGATATTTAATTTATTTGACAGCAGGGATGCATCAAAGGTATCGTAATTTACTTTCAAAATTCCTGCTCTACACGCTACGCCATTCCTTTTCAACCATTTATGTTCTTCGCTTACCTTAAAACTGTATGTCAGTTAAACTGCTTGAAAGTTGAAAGTTCTCAATGAGCTCGATCTCTCTAAGACTAGAAAATTTAACCTACACATACTCTAAAAGAGTTTGATTTTGTGCAATCTGCCCGTTTGGATTGCTTTTTTTTTTTCAGAATTTTTGTAGAAAAATATACTATAATAATGTGATGTATGTGAGGTAGAAAGGTGACTGAAAAAATATGTTTAAGAAAAATGTAACAGGGTTTTTTTGAGATACTATACGTGTCTATGTGAAATAAGAAAATTATTAAAAAGAATATATTTGTGGTGTAACTAATCTTATGAATTTACATCAAAAATACCGAGAAAAGTCAGCAACTTGAAGTTTAACAAGAATTAAGGCATGAGTTGGACAAGAATAGATTAAGTTATGTGCGTTGGAATAGTTTCGTGTTTTAATTTCGTCCTTAATTTTTTTTTTCATGTGCAAAAGAGTATTTGGGTTATTCCCCAAGACTATTGAACCATTGAATTATAGGTACAGAACATATTCTTATTGAGCCAGAAGATCATGGATTTTCCGGTGAGGCTCCATTCTATTAATTGGAGACGATTTTCTCTCCATCACACCTTAACAAGCACCATTATAAAATTATTTTTGAAAATAAAAAATCATCCATATTATATTTCTCTAGTTTTTAAAAGTATATACAAAAATTGAAATTAAAGTGATTAAATTTTACCTTTGGATCAAACTTGATAACTTTCATTATAATTTTGATCCACAATGCACTATCAATTGTACAAATTGAATGACAAAACATTCATAAATGAACTCGATTTTTGAATACGATTGATCTACTCGTGGAAATAAAATCATTGACACAACCAGATTATTGTGAAAAAAATGTAGTTGTATATATAGAAAAACATGTATAAATAAATGGACAGAAAAGTAACAGAGAGAATTTTAATCCTGGATTTTCCCTATCATTAATTAAATTCACTAGGTGGAGCAGGTTTTTTTTTTTTTTTTTTGGGTTGGGGTTTCAAGTCAAGAGTCTAAAGTCTAGACTGGAGGCCTTAGGACTTTTATAATTTTGTTTTTCCTACTATTAAAGTTACGGGCCTTTACCTGTCATTCTCCCTTCTCTTATCAGTTGTCAGTACTATATATATAGATATATATATTAGTATAAGCCAAAGAAAACCGAGTTTGTATGTTGTTCATATGCCAGCAAGAGTTCACTCTTCACCAGAAATAGAGGAGAGTTACCTGGTTTTTGTCTTCCTCCGCTGAGAACAAATTCCTGATTTTAAGTTCACCAAAAAACAAGCCCCAGTTTAGATTACACCAAGGCCAACGTTAGCACAGAGAGAAAGAAACAGTACAAGCCTTTAAACAAAGAAAAGACAGACAAACCAAACTTTATCTATCACCACTACTATAACTTCCTTAACAGCCTTTATCTGATGTCAAATCTTTCAGGTGATGAGGGAAGTTTCTCTTCAGGAGAAGAACATCAAGCCGATAAGCAGCCACAACAGCTGCAGAGTCAGTCCCATGGCTCCAATTTCGCTGCAACTAATACCAATGGTTCTAGCTCCCAACAGCAGCAGCAACCTGGAGCCAAGAAGAAGAGGAATTTACCAGGAACTCCAGGTGATGATCATTTATTTCAGCAGCCCTTTACCTGAGTTTTGTTGCTTTTGTCTCTTGCTCGATGAGGCTACTGCCATCTAGCAAGAATCAGTTAGACATGTGCTAAAAGTCCAGTTGAGCACTCGAGCATACAAGCATCAAAATTTCTTTAAAATAGCTCAAACCTTAGTCAAAACATATTTTCTTCTCATAGCAAATATTCAGATTGTAAACAAATTAGCTGAAAGACTAGTGCAGTCCTGCCTTAATATTCCAGTATGATACATCGGGAGGGATATTGATCCATAATGTACTTGCTACAAAAGAAGATGTGAGAAATTTAGGACGTCTTAATCTGTGAAAAATGGAGGAAAGATAATCGATTTTTCTTTTTAATCAGTTTATTCAATCCAAAATTCAATGCATAATATCTAATTGCGCTGGAGTTTCTAAATCTTTGGAGAGTGCTCTACGGAAATCAATTCTAGTCATTCGAAGAAAGAAAAATGGAAAATGGCAGAAAGAAAATTTATCAATATTGTTCGAAATATCAGATCAAATAATTGCTTGGAGATGACAATAATTGATTGACACTGTGCATGATTGCACCTTTCTTTTCTTTCAGCTATTTAACTGTTTTATATGGCTAAGGGGCCATCAATACAGTGCGCACTTTTTGGATTTGATGAATCTATTCTGTAGTCTCTTCGACACTGATGGATTTACTGAAACGTTAATTAATGTACATTTCCTAGCACTGAAGATCAAGCATTCCGGCCCCCCAGAACATTCATTAGAATTAGACTGGCCTTGGTTTGTGACTTTGATCTTTTTCTGTCCTGTAGATCCAACTGCAGAGGTCGTTGCTCTCTCACCAACGACGCTCATGGCGACTAACAGATTTGTATGTGAAATTTGCAACAAGGGATTCCAGAGGGACCAGAACCTCCAATTGCATCGAAGAGGTCATAACCTTCCTTGGAAGCTTAAGCAAAGAACCACAACTGAGGTGCGGAAGCGTGTCTATATATGTCCCGAGCCAACCTGCGTCCACCACAACCCTGCTCGTGCATTAGGGGATCTTACAGGGATCAAGAAGCATTATAGCCGGAAACACGGCGAGAAAAAATGGAAATGTGATAAGTGCTCAAAGAAATATGCAGTGCAATCTGACTGGAAGGCTCATCAAAAAACTTGCGGCACCAGGGAATACAAATGTGACTGTGGAACCATCTTCTCAAGGTGATAATTTTCACAGTCTTATTTTTTTTTTAATACGTGCCCTTGAAAATACAAGTGCCTGCGTCTTAATTAGTATATGATTCCAGTACATTAGCATAGGGTTGGGTTGAATTTTTGTGTTGAAACAATTTACATGGGTAAAGCCGGTCTAAGATAGGACAAATGTTCACTAGAAACGTATTTGGTGCAGGAGAGACAGCTTCATCACTCACAGGGCTTTCTGCGATGCGCTGGCAGAAGAGAACAACAAGGTGAATCAAGGCTTGATGAACAGCATGGGACCAAACATGCAAGGCCAAATGCCCGACTTCATGTCGTCAATGCCCATGAACCCCAACGCTAACACATCCATGGGGCTGTCCGAATTCAACAATTTTGACCCCAAAAACCCACTAAAGTCACTCCCTCAGGACCTCGTGCCCATGCCGTTCAAGCCCACGAACATGGTGGGTGGCATGTTTTCGAGCAGTTCAGGAACTCTTTTCGGCAGTCCAAAGGGCATATCCTCGTCATGCTCCGGCCTTCAGCTCAGTTCGAATACGCCTTCAAGCTTCAACTACCTTCAAGAAGGCAAAAACGGAAGCCAACTTTCCGGATCGCCCCACATGTCGGCAACCGCATTGTTGCAAAAAGCAGCCCAAATGGGGGCAACCGCCAGTAACACCATTAATTCTCCCATGATGCAGAAGAGCTTCGTCAGCAGCATGGCCGGTCCCGATCAAATTGCTGGGCCCAAATCATCAGCATACTCTTCGATGCAGCAGCATAATATTAACAACAGCAATAACGCTTCGTACGAGAACTTCACAAATCATCAACCAGACCAATCAGGGTTAGCAGGGCTTCACAATGCAGGAGGGTTTAACCCGCACCTCTTGCACAAGGGCCCATCACAAGAAACCAATCATCATCATCATCAGTTGTTTGATCACTCTGGAGATGCTGCGGCTGCTGGGACCTCAGCTATGAACGACTTGGGAATGTACAGCGGAATTCTACTGGGAAGCGATCAAAACCTGGGATTCATAAAGGGAATGGATCGCCGCGGCGGTGGAGACGATAGCGATAGTCCTGCAGGCCTCATGCAGAGTAGAGGTTCGATGAGCAGGAGTCCAGCTGCCGGGCCAACCAGAATGCGGGGGGGAAACGGGAACGATGTGACGACAGTGGATTTCTTGGGGATTGGAGTATCCCGGCCTCCAAATGTACATGAGCAGCAACAGAGGCTGGACCAGTTGGAGGCAATGAGCCAACATCGGATGCAAGTGATGGACCCTTTTCACCAGCAACTATCCCACGGCCATGGGGAACCCGCTCACGTTGAAAAGCCATTATGGGATGTTTGAGAAATGCTAATGATCCAGAAGAGAAGAGGTACGTATATGGTGCAAAGTGCAAGACGAGGGTCAACCTAGATAGCTAATTACAAAAAAGTTTGACAGTGCAAAATTCAAATTCATATACGTCAACCAAAAAAAAAAAAAAATTACTCACTAGAGGAAGACATGACTGGTATGACTGTGAGTTTCCTGCATGCATGTCCCTACGCCACAGCTGTAATGCTTGAAATAAAGCCCATTTAGAAATTAATTCAACGATTCAATTTCTCTACAGTAACAGTAAGACGACCTTTTTGTTTTCCCATCACTTCGAAATTTTGATTGCAATGACTTCTCCAATCATTAGTCTGCCGTGGCTATAAAGGAAGTGTACTTTCCCCATCACAACCCCTCCCCACCCTCCTAAAAACATACCAATTGCAACTAAATAAGCACTCAGTTACTGTTGTCAAGAAAAATGAGTGGAAATCACTGCTGTTGACCCTCTTTAAATAAAATAAAGAAAGAGAGAAAAAAAAAAAGCACTACTATTTAGTACGTACCCTAGGAATGAAATGGAGACTAAACGCACACAAAATAAGTAGCAGGATAGCAAAATGGGAAAACTCATATGAAAGTTGAGGAAAAAAACCAAAAGCGTGCATGGTTTTGACACAGACAAACAAAGCAGTAATCTGTCTATTCTTCTGCAGGCTATAAACTTGAAGGGTTAAATGCTTACCAGTTCGGCAAGCTGCTGAAATGTGACCAATAATTAAACTCCACGTTGCATTAATGGCTCACTTGGTTTTCTTTTTTTTTTTTTTGTCGAAACGATAGATGTTCTATAACCTAATCTAGCCTAGTCTAAGGAGAAGGGGATGGGGTTCGATGTGAGTACAGATTTCATCGATGAAGGTCAATTAAAACCGCCACAAATTGTGACAAATTTATAGGAGGCAGGGATTGAACCTCTGACCTCCAGCATCACCTTTAATGGTGATGACCACCGGACCAAATGGCCAGTGGCGCCCACTTGGTTTTCTGTGTTACTGATTGTTGAACTAATTAATTGGGTATGCGTGTCATCATTGCCAAGTCAAAGGTCCATATTTTCAGTTCACTTGGGTTGCCTGTCGGAGGCATCATCATAATATGTTCTTGGTTTGAAGACTAATTTCGGGTGAAACGGATTGAATTGAAAATTATACTTTACCAGAATTAAGTTTAGATTTTGCAAAATTTGATAAGTATATAATATAACGAGAATCAGCAAAAACTCTTCTTTTTTTTTTCTGGTCGATTATAAACTTTAGCTTTCTGTCTATTAAAAAAATCTATAATTCAGATATAAAAGCAAATGAAAGATTAAGAATCTATAATTAGCTGAAATAATTAACAGTGCATAATAAGTATAAACTTTGAGGGAAAGGAAATGATTTGTGCAAAACATTTCCCCCGCTGTCAATGAGGTCCAAATGTCCAATGGATGGGCTAAGCCCAATCGCGCAAACTTTCAGTTCCCCACATGTTAAGCCTCCGCAAAGCCCAAGTTGAGTTACCTTTTGCGGGTTAACCAATAGAATGGTATGCCATAGGACTGTCAAGACCCATGACTCATGGGCCTGAGCCCCTGCAATCACGAAAACACTCAGAGCTTCGTGAAAGTCTTAACAGAAACCCTAACCCTAGTTGCCAGGCGTCTTATAAATGGAGTATTATTCGGTAGCTCCTCAGTCTTTGAAACTTCCATTCCCTTGTCAGGGTCTCTATCCGGACGCCGCTGGTTTATCGATTTTAAGGTAGATTACTGTCTACGTACTGTGCCTGTGCTTATTCCTTTTTCTTTTTTTCTTTTTTTTTTTTTTTTTTTGTAATTCTGAATGAAGGCTATGATGTTGAGAACTACCTATTTTCTGAGGGAAAAATTTCCCGTATGATTAAACAAACCAATGGATCCTTCTGAGCCTTTGAATCTCTCTCTCTCTCTGTATGATACGCATATCGATGTGTCTATTGGTTAGCTGTAATTTTTTTCCCTTTACTATTTAGGGAGGTTTTGATAGGAATTTGTTTGTTGAACCATTGAGGTGAGGATTACTAAGTCGGAATGGTCAATGTCGATTAAAAAAAATGCTTCCAGGCTACAATTATCTGATCAATGGTTCAGCCTATTTGTCATTGCCTGCACGATTGTGTCTGTTTATCTGAAGTTCTCGGGTTCTAAGAATTCTACAAAGGATGAAGGTTTTATGATTTTTAGGTTAAGCAACATTTTTCTAAACTAACACCACTAGTCTTCAGAAAAAAGAAACATTCCAGGATTGTTATTGAGCGGCTTGATTTTTTTTTACTAATAATAAATAAAAAAAAAAAGATTTCCCAGGATGTTGATTTGTTATTCCCCCACCGATTCTTACAATTGGTCGTTGCAATGGGCCTTCTGCCTAGCCTTGGGAGCGGAGGGCTTGTTGGCCATCCAATTTTTGCTTAAAAGTTTGTTCTGGAGAAGCGTGGTTTCTGCCCTTGCAGGGCTTGGTTTATAAATTAAACCGTGCGTTAGCAAATCATTATCAAAAGGAAAAGGTAAAGATTAATACTAACCCTGCATCGTGGAGTTTAAAAGGAAAAAAAGAGGAATGAAACGATAGCAAACTTAAATGAGCTAGTAATGCAAGCCTACAAATTTCGTGCATCCAAAATAAGTGCCACCTCCCCAAAAGTAATGCCAAGTTTACTAGAGGTGGTAAACATATGTGCGAGTGGAACGCAACAATGACAAGAATTCTTCCCTCCTATGTTTTCAGACTTAGACTGGACATTGACTCGCAGTTGAGTTTCTGAATTACATATTGGACTTTTAGGTGGATTCTCTATTCCCTAACAAATTAGTATCAGAGTTTCAAGTTATGAGATTAGGCTACTCATGGACAAGTGAATTCTTCTCGGAGTTGGACCGGTAAAAAATTCTCTTCTTGATGGTGGATCGAGGTGCCAAGGAGTTTGGTAAGTGTTGGACTAGGTGTGCTATGGGTTGGTAGGAGTCCAAAATGTAGTTTGGATGTTGAAGAAGAGTGGGTCCATGTTTAGAAGAAGAGATGACCTTAAGTGATAAGGTGGGTTTGCGTTAAGTGATAAGGTTGGTCATGAAGTGTCTAGTTTGTGAGGATTGGACCATGAGATTGGTTCGAGAATTGTCAGATTGATTGATTGCAGATGTTACGACAGAGATCGGAGAAGAATCCTGTCAGTTGAATTGTGATTATGAAAATCATAAAGTAAATTCAATAAGTTGACATCAAATTGGGTGACGAAAACAACCTATCCAAAAGCATGGATTATTTTTTGCAAGTGGAAAATAAGTTGAGTGACTCTATACAGGTGTGTGGAATATTACAGCAGCAAAAATCAAGGGAGATTATTGATCGTGATGATGGTGAACCTGGTCCAAGAGAGAGCAAAGATTATTGATCGTGGTGATGGTGGTGAATCTAATCCAAGAGAGCTTGATTTAAGGAAGGCAATGTTGGCATATTAAATCAAGGCTCAAAATTAAAAAATTTCATATTATTATTTAGTAGTGTTGTAGTCAAGGCACCGAGGGTTTGATTGGAGCGGATGACGTTATATATATATATATATATATGTGTGTGTGTGTGTGTGTGTGCGTGTGTCAATTTTTTCCTGCAAATTAAATATACAAAATATAACCAAGAACTAGTAATGCAAATCCAGATCGAATTCATCAAAAAATTAATTCAAAATGATTATATCAAAGCAAACATTAGCTGAATTGTTAAACTAGAAACTAAATGAATGTACAGGATTGATTTTCCAAATTTGCTTATTGCAGCCTTGCGAATTTACTTATTGCTTTAGAATATTGTCACAAATTACATACCAATATTTAAAACAAGAAATTAGGGCAAAGAACTTCTTTGGAACTTTAACTAAATTTAACTCTCTTAAGCTGCATATGGGTTACAATTAACATTTTTTAAAAAATCTAATAAATATTTTAAGCCTTTTGAAAGTAAAATTGTCAAACATTTGGTTATGGTTAACAAGAGTGGAGGTAACCTTTCCAAATAGTAACAAGAGTGGAGGTAGCCTTTCCAAATAGTGTGTATATTTTCTCCAATTAGAGTGTGGTTGTAATCTCTAATCAATTTTTCAATCGCACACTTTTTGATTTTAGAATCATGAGTTCAACTAAAATAATTCAAAACAAGGGCCACAAGTAACTTCTTAACTTCATAATTACACTTGAAAGAGTACAATTAACATGCCAATCAACACGACAAGATGGTAAAAGTATGCCCAGATCAATGTTCACACGAGAAATCCAGTCAAAGGTCACGCAACATCATCAATCCAATAATCCATCTCACATCACAAATTGTACATCACGAATTCTCCACTGTAATTTATTTGCAAGTATAGTTTTCAAACATTTGTACATCACAGAGATCAGGAACAGAGGAGAAAAATCAGTTGAACTTGTCCTCTTCAGGCAATAAATTAAGAGATATGCCCAAACCGATTCTTGAAAATTGTAGTTCGGCAAGGTCAGCATATTTTGAGATACATTAATCACACAATTGAGAGCTTAGTCTTATATTACAACACGTTGTGAGTGCATGACCAAAAAGGGCCAAATTAATAAAAGTTTTGAGAAAGATTCAACCTGCTGCCTCCACTTTGAATTTTAAGTCTGAACTCCGAAGGAGGTGGCGGCAATGGAAGCTTGAAGTCTGAAAATTACCAGAGGAGAGGCGACTCCAACCTTTTAGGAGCGGCGGTGGTGGACTCACGATGGAGGAGCTAGGGTTACCAACAAAGTAGAACCCAAGAGACATCACATATTTCGTTTGGCACGCTTTGCAATTTTTCCAGCTTTTTTCCTCTTGTTTGTTTGTTTTAATCGGTCAAATGAAAGACCGAACGTTAATGACTTATGTCCTAAAGTTTAGAAAAAAAAAATAGGCAAAAAAAAAAAAGAAAAGGAGAAGAGAAAAATCGGGTTTAATACAACTACACCGGTTCACTGGTTAGACCAGGGTGTTGACCAGGTTTTACCAGTTTTTTTAATTTTCGAGTTTTTATACTGACTTGAACCGGCTACCTGGTCCTAGTCTGACCGATTCAACCGACCGATCCGGTCCAAACCTGAAAACAATGCTTCCTGTCATCTAGGATTAGAAATCGTGTCGTGTATTCTAATACTACTGCTTTTAGACAACTTAGATTCATTTAGGGCTTTGCACCAAAAATAGCCCCAAATGTCTGTCGAAAAGAACTGCATTGAACTATGGAGATGTGACTCTACTGCCATTGTCGCTTTCTTTCCATTCATAATGCAAGTTTGGTGTTGCATGTGCAAGTCGTAGCTGCATAGAAATGCTGACATTGTTTGGTACAGCCTCGAAGATCACTTTCTCTGCCTCTTCTGCAACTTTGACAGCATCCCTGGTCATAAAACGGCCGTTACCAACGAAAAAGAGTAACTAGGCAGAGGAAAGAAGCAATTGATACCATATGGTGCATCATAGTCAATGAAGCAAATGATGCCAGTGAGGTTAGTAAAGGTTTTTACCTAATTAACATATCAGGAGGCATAGTAACCTCAATCTGAAGCAAAATCCGCCCTTGCAACATGTGACGAGTTATCCGCTGAACTGTCAGTTTCTGAAACCAAAATCCATAAAATGTGTTGAGATGCACGCAAGAGTTTTGAACCCTTCTTTTTTGTGTCCTCTAATGCAAGCAATTTATCAAGTATATGCCATGTAGCAATTTTTATCAACCTTTTCTAGATTATAATGAAACGCTGGAACAACAACTACATGAATCCAATTTATGAAATCCTATCTTCGCCCATCTTCTGGAGTCAAAATTTTCCTAAATCAGCAATAGATGGCTTTACTCCTACTCCGCAGTAAACAATTACAAGCTACATGCCACAACCTTAACGCATAGAGCATGCCCGTAATATGAATTAAACAATGAAGATGTATACCTCTGCAAACTTTGATGACAAGATATTGGACACTATATCTTCAACATCTGAGCATTCCAAAGACCCACTAGGATTTTCATTAGATTTACCATCTTCCTCTGTCGCACTATGGACTGGTGGAATACCGGAGCTTGAAGGCTCTGACAAAAAGATGAATATGAATGAGAAGTCACATGAGAGGCAGACACCTTAAAACATGATGAAAAATATAGACAGATATCTCTCTTTTTTTTTTGGGTTGGGGGGGGGGGGGGGGGAGTGTGGGGGGTTACTGTAGTTAATCCATTGAAAGAAAAGTCACAATTCAATTGTCCGCAATGAAAAGCTGCAGTTCCTACGAGACAATAACGCATCCTTTGCCCCATCTGAGGCAACCAAACACGTTAGAATCCCTCTAGACCAAAGCCCCAACATGATGAACCTAAAAAGAGGTAGCATGGAGGCTTGTTCCCAAACTCGCAGCTAATCAGCAAGAGAAAATGGTGTATTGTGTATGAAAACAACAAATCAATACACTATTTTATTTTGTGTGACATACGTGTTTCACTTATTAAAAGAAGGATTAGAAATTCCAAGAGAGTTGTACAGAAGAAAGGGTCATCCAAACTCGAAACATCACTATTGTTTTCCACATTTATGCAGTATGACCAGCTAAGACATCACGATCAGCCTCCAAACCTAGCATTCTTTGAAAGGTGTCAATAATATCCATAGAAAGCACCAAGCATAAGTTTTCATGTGTCTAGGTAAAAAATTATTCTATTCTTTCTCTTTTGATCATTTTAATTAGTTTTCAAGATGTGTCTTGCACATCCTTGGATACACAGGATGTTAAAGCTGGGCTTTTTAACCTTCCAATTCCATAATCAGAGTCAATTGCACTTATTTTGTTCCCTTTTAATCTTTTTGGCGGATAGACTTAAAAGTGGTTCACCTATATGGATGAAGACTTCAGCTATTTCAGGATGGGACTGCTGTATTTTCCGACGAACATTTTCACCAACATCATGTGCAGCACTAACACTAGAAAAAGGATCAACCTGAAAGACAATACTTGTCAGATGTACATCTAGTCTAGATAAAAGTGGAGAACAATATGACCAGATCATAACAGAACAGCTTTAAATATATCTAATATATTGAACATCATATGAAGTGTACCTCCACGTTTACATCAAGATAGAGAAAAGAACCAGCCCTCCGTCCTCTCAAATGGTTGCATCCCTACGGATTTCAGTGCAAAAAAATTATGCATCCATATCAAAAACTGAATTGAGTATTGATAATACTAAAAGCAATACTGAATCAAATTGTAAAACAGCATCTATGAGGCAGCAAGGGTTGAATCTGATTTCAGGAATAGAAACCAAGAAAGCATCTTTCTATTCTAGTCGTTTTCAGATAGTTAAAATGCTAATGCACTTCCTTTCCGCTGATCAAGTAGTTTCATCCCAAAATAAATGGCAAATGCAACAAGAGAGGTAAATGATTGGATTTAAAACTAGGACCAATTTGGCACCAGAGTACAAAAAGGAGCAGAAAGATCACATAATACTCCCCATAAAATTCTCAACTAAACTTTTTAGAGCAAAATGAAGGTAGAATACTACTAGACATGTTTAAAAACTTAACCAAATTCCAGTAAGACAAAAGGATTAAACACACGTTGCAAAACTGAAGCATATGCACAATCATGCCAAGACATGCAGAGACAAAATCAGTCTTTTGTTCCTTGGACCAACCTTCTGTCAGGAAAATGTGGTCTTCTGACAAAGAGGTGGTGCTGCGAGAAACAAAAAAGCAGAGGTTGTGTTTTAAGAACAAATAATGCACAACCTGCAAAAACGGCTTTTAACCAGAAAATACATGCAACAGAAAAGCAAAGTTTGTTTACACCAGCTCTGCATGAGCAATTATTACTTTTAGATTTGCTCACACAATCAACATAATCTTTCCACCAAATAACAAAACCAATAAAACCTACAAGATAACCGGGTACACTCAAAATAACAGAAACATTGGAATCCCCACAAGCTGCACGAGTAACAGGAGTAAATAAACGTAATAGCACATCTAAATCAACCATATTAGACTTATGTCATTCTACATGGTTATTCTGATTGACATACCTTAACTCCTTCAACCTGCAGAATTGCATTTCTATAAGGTTCCATTAGTTGTGATGGTATAGCAGCATCTACCAGTTCCAAGACACTGAAAGAAAATTCAGGAGCACAACAGATTTACAACAGTAAGAAATACAATGTGTTAAGGTGGAGTAATCCAAATAAGTCAATAGAATTTGGCCTTCAAAAGTTCAAAACCTCATCACCTGCAATATCTTATAACGAGAAGTATATCGAAAAACTATTTTTTGACAAGGATTTCTTTTGCTGGATGGGTTTCAGAAATCAGTTACTCAAACAACAAATTATCTTGTAACAGAGCATGGGTATTTGAAGATGCAGGATGATGCAGCAGTCAGACTAGCACTGATTATAGCTTCAAAATGATAATGGAGACATATACAGATTTTTGGAGGATGTTGATTTTTTAACAAATACAGATTTTTTAACAAGCAACAAACAGCTTCCCACCCAAATCAGGGCAGGAAGGTCTCAAGATATCAGATTGGCAATACTTTTGGAGGATGTTGATGATTTAGCAAATTTGTTTCCAATGTGCTTTTTTTGTTTAGTTAATACACCCTTTTTGTTTAGTTAATACAAATAGTATGGATGTATGTTCCAAGCTCAGCTCATATGCTATGAGCATATATCAGGATAAGGAATGGATCTTTAGAGTTCCTTAGCGCTTCAATGCACACTTTGTATAGGCATTTGGGCCTTTGTCCACACTAAAGATCTACATATCAACACATTCCATCTTTGAGAGGAAAAAAGTCTTAATGGCTTTGAAACACAATTTTAATGGCTTTCTAGGAGAAACCACATAGTAGTTTCGAAAATCAAGCTTTCAATGATTCGCAACTCAGTTGGGTAAAATGAAAAGGTACAGATATTCAGATTGTGTTTTTCAACAATGAAGCATCAGATTTGCAACCTATAGCAATGCAATCTCACACTGTTGCCATTAGTAGCATCAATCATTTGACCAAAAGATTAAATATGCAAGGTCACCTTTCATAACCAGTTTCAAGTCCAGTTTTTAGGATCATGCCAGAGACAACTAGTCCTGCCAAAGGATCAAGGAACCTCACTCCAAGTATGGACCCTCCTGATCTCAAAAGGTAATCCATAGTCATAAAACAGATCATGCAAACATGTTAGATGGTTGAGAAGAGGAGTTGAAGGGAAAAGGAAAACGATTGAGAAGAAAACAAACAGAAACAGAGGGGAATGGATATTACCAACCCCTATAAGAGCAACTACTGATGAAACAGCATCTGCACGATGATGCCAAGCATTGGCTTTCATTAGCCTGCTGTTAGCCCTTTCCCCAGCCCTCTTGGTAATCCAGTATAACCTTCAATACAGAAACATTCATATAAAACATTGATCAGAAAAATGAAGAGTAAGCACACCTTTATTTATTGTCATAACCAGACACAATTGTTCCAAGAAGGAAAATATTAAGTTGCCATCTGACGAAAGAATCAATCGATCAAAGAGAAGAATTCAAGTTGCCATGTGAAGAATCAATTAACAGTCAAGGAGTTTGAAGATAGAGTGCTTCTTCCTAACAATACTGGAGTTCATTTTTGGCCCCAACTAGTTATTCATCAGAATAAAGCACTAGGGATGCAAATGAAATCTGCAATGTAATGTTGAGATAGATTCATGACTAACAAGAAAAATGGGAATTGCTTGATCTCTGAGGATAAATATAGATAAGCAAGATCTGATGAGCAGTATTTACAACTTGGATGACCACCATACCCTTCTTTAACAGCTATAGACACTATGGTCATGTTCAAAGCTAGGACAGGGTGAGCCATATCAATTCCATGGTGATGTCCACCCTGACCATGTCCATGCATGTGTTCGTGAGCCAATGACTGATTAATAACCTCAGGAGCTGCACACCAAAACCCCTACATATCACATATGAAAATTTAGAGAAGAGATCTAAAAATAGCCAATATCGCTATGATATAATTAAACTCAATGGGTTGCTGCAAAACTAACCCAATTCCCGATTTTTTTCTTGAATTTCATTTCAGCACCAAGCAAAACTTTCATTTAGAAGCTCATGAAGAATTAGTTACAGAACAAGAACAATACCAGCAAAACATCCACAGCATGCCATGCAATACCTCCAGCAGTAGCCAAAAGCGCAGCTGAAATTCCAAGGGCTCCAAGAGTCTCAAATTTACCATGACCTAAAAGATGGAAGAGTAAGATAAATCCCAATGTCTAACCAAGAAGCTCCTACACAACAGTTACTGGAATTTAAGAGTTTGGCGTTTATCATCTGTCAAACAGGACATCATCCGAAGTAAACCATAAACTCCATTGGCACCAAATTTGCAAGCTTAGGTTCCACTCTTACTTACAGATTTCACTCTTCAAAGAGCATTTGATAAGAACCTACATCTCCCTTTCAAGTATTTACAACACGCAATAACAACAAGTAAACCGTATCTGCTTCCATATAATTCCCTGAAGATAACTAGCAGGCTGGCTTCTTTTAACATTCTCAGCTTATTATTCTCAAAGATGACGGGTAATTTCACGTCTCAAAAAGGAAAAAAAAATGTAAAGTGCATATGTATGTGATAAAAATGGAGTAGGCTGTAGATACAGATCAAAAGTAACCATATGGGTGTTCTTTATCCTTGGGCACCCTTGCAGCTTTAAAAGACAACAATGCCACTCCACTGAGAACCTAAAAAACATTTAAAAAAAAAAAACATGTAACATTTATTGTTGGCTCTAACATTGCACAAAAAAGCGACGACCACAACCACCGTCCTTATTAGAGACATAAAAGAAAAAGATTACCACGTCGGAGACAGAGTGAGCGGCATCGGCAATGATGGCGGTGCTACCGGAGAGGTAACCCGTCAAGGCTTTACCAGCAGCCAAGCCGACATCGGAGGCGAGTCCCAGGCGGAAAATCCTCTCGCCTTCCTTGCCGGAGAGGAGGTCGTCTTCATGATCGCGGTGGTGGTCGGAGTGGCCAATGTGCCACCTCTTAGAAATCTTAAAGTTAGGGTTTTCAATGTAGGCCAGGGAATGGTCATTTTGGTGAGGGGAACTGCTGAGTGTGAGAGCTCCAATGACCGGATTGAAGTTGGTAGTACGACCACGACCACCTATACCTAGCAACCACAGGGTTTTCTTGTGGATGATGATGGTACTAGCCAGATTTTTCAATAATCTTATTCTCATTTTTTTTTCTTTTTCCTTTTTTTTTAATTGCTCATCAAAACCGAAATAGTATATAAATATATGATGTAACACACTCTATCATAGTCGGAAACCAACCAACCAACAGAAGGGATTCTCCATTTTCATTCTATAGCATCTTTGATTTCCGAGGATTTGGGGAAGATGATGGTCGTAGTAGCGTTAACGGCGTGCCGACGCAGTAGCCAGTAGTGGAAAATCCGCCGGAGGGGGGGGGGGAGAACGCAAAATAGTCGCGTACTACTTACTGTACAGGTAGTAATTTTCTGTCTTTACGTGGGAGTGATCGGGTGCGGCTAGGGACACGGTGAGGCGTAAGAAACGACCTATCAAACCACATAGCAATAACCGACTTTGGGGTACTTTAGTAAATTGATGGTACAAAAGTTGGACGGCTATCGTCCTGCCCAATAGTCAACGCCCATCATCCAGCCCATACTCTTCCTCCCCGCAAGAAGTTCTGTAAAACTTTCACTCACTATTCCTTGTTACTCGTCTAATCGTGAAAAAATACAAAAAAAAAAAAAAAAATTCCACCCTCGCCCCCCTCCCCCCCTTTCGCCAGAAACAATCCCGGGGAAGAAGAGACATTTTTCCGCATGGCCTTTGGTGAGCTTGTTTTACTCGCATCTTTTCCTCTTTTATTAATAACCTTGGTGTCCGTGCATCCTTATTTCAAAAACATCAAAAGTTCATTTTACTTCGCCATGGGTCGGACGCAAGGATATGGGTTGAACCGTCTTGGTATTTTCTTCCTACTTATTTTAACCACTAGACTAGAAACAAGGAAGAAGATATCGGTTGAATCATTTACGTAATCAATATATCTTTACTACACCTGTGAAACCAAACGGGTCCCAAAAAAGGGTGCTTCAACGTTCAGACATCCTACACCCAGCACCATCTCCATCTCCATCTCCATCGCTTCAATGTACAGTCCCTGAATAACATAATCAATCAGCAGAAAACTTAGCCCACTCCTCCGAAGCCCGAACAAAAGCCCTGGGCTATCTTCTTCTGTCGCGCCATCTCTTGGTCCCACTTATACCCGGATCGTGGTATCCAGAACTAGGAGGATACCCGGCATGCCTATATATTGGCCTTTCTGGTCTATAGCTTTGCCCAGGGTTCACCATAGGTTCCTGGACGTTCCATCCAGGCACGTAGCCATGGGATCTAGTAGGACTATTCTCCGGGCTCCATGATTCAAAGTCCGGCCCAACCATCAAGTCATTTTTCTCCCAAGAACTCCGGGCAACTGGAGCCCTAGCTGATGCTCCGACAAATGCTTCATATTCGTCTGGGGTTACATTATTCTGACGAGAAATAGGATCCAAACCCGGCCTCGGCCTCCAGGAATGAGCCAGCGGAGCCTCTGGTGCATAAGAAGGCTGCATTTGGGTTTGCGGGCGCAGCGGGCTACCTACCAGGGACATTGACGAAGGATTAACCACCATGGCAGGTGCTACTCCATTCATAGAATTTGTTAGTGGAGGTGATCTAGAGAGAGAGGTATTGTTCATGTTTAGCAACAGTTCGGAGGAGGACTTCAGTTGCGCATTTGAGGCATATGCGGGGATATTATGGTGCAAAGAGGAAGTCAGAGGAAGCAACCGCTGTTCATGCGACCCAAGCACTTGAGGTGCCATTTGTTGGGCTAATTGTTGGACAGTTGCTGCCTGTTGGGGTGCCAAAACTGTAGCACGTAAGACCTGAGGCTGTACCAGGCCGCTGGCTCGAAGCTTCTCCTCTGAAAGAAGAGCATGCGGAATTGCATGTTGTGCCAATTGTGGGAACGTTGTCGACGGTTCAGCAACCATGGCTCCGGTTGGCAGGTTATGTGATTGCACCACGTTACTAGCTGGTACGCTTTCTTGTGAACGGATGGCTGCGGTCCCTGGGATGCCAAGTATTTCATTGTTCAGTGTTGTTTTTTGCTGGGAGAAGGGATTTTTGGCATAGTCTGGCTTCCGTGCACTCTGCAATTGCAAAAAGAAAAAAATATATATATATTAGAAATGCACAAGACAGCAAATTCATCAATCACCCATCCGGGAACCAGAATAATATTTACTGTTAATAATGGAAAATGTTTAGATCACTGACAGACAGTTTCTACTAGTGCACACAGACAAATGGAAGATGTTTGGTTATTTCTTCTTTAAAGAGTGGCACATCAAACTACAGCTGATTGCTGGTGATGAAGCTTCCATCCAGACCACAACGCCTCAATCCATCATCACGCTGCCAATTTGATTCAATTTACTTTACGGTAACTCTATGATATTTAGTAATTGCCCATCTTTTTTTTCTAACTCATTTCGATGCTCATTCAATTATAGAAGTAATCTCAGTCCGTTTTTCGGTGCAACAGAGGAACCCATTTGCGTGCATGTGTGGCAAACCCCCTTTCAGGGAGTATGGTAGCTACAGTTACAACTAGAGCATCCAACAGTCAGCAAGTGAGACGGATGAAGAAAGAATGGAAGTGTAATTTAGATGAGGAAAAATAACCGGAACCAATTTTACTATAAATTTTCCATAAAGTGGTACAAAATGTCTTAAAAGACGCACCGTTACAGGATCACTGGAAGGAGTAGGGGATGGTAGAGAAACTTCAACCTTCTCCTCAGGTTTGCTTTTTCCTGATGAAGCAGTTATATTAGCCAATGAGTTCATCTCATTGGCCTTTATCATATCAAGCAGCTTTATAGTTTCCTCATTTGACAAGTTACCAGCTTGACCAGAAGTCAAGGCAAAAACTAATTCTGGATTTTTAAGCAATGCAGCAAGCAATTCCAGGTCTGGTTCAGGCATACTCCCACCAGCAATCAGGGAGGACGTGTTGCCAGAAGTACCAGCAGTTCGTTCATTTTCACGAGGGGAAACTGAAGCTTCCGCGAATTCACCATCTGGCAATTGCTCAATTGGAATTTCTGCAGTTAACGAGTCATCATAGTCTATTTCTTGGTCCCAAGGTTCCTTGGGATCTGATGGAATCTCCTGGAATGTCTTGTAAACAGTTTCGCGTTCACGATGTATTCTTTTTTTCTGAACTTCTACTTCCTTACTATTCTCCCCAGCACCAACTCTCCAGGAAACACTGATACCTATTTCTGCAGAAAAGGTAAAGAGGGCAGCAAACGCTCAATCTACATGGAATCATGATAAAGAAAGGACAGGCTGACATCAGAATACCAAAACTAACACATCAATTCAAATGAAAGTACACCTCTCTTAAAACCTATTCACCAGTAAATAGATTCAAATTCTTGATGGTGATTTGATTCTTTCGTCAAAATCAATGATTGAATTACATTCAAATTAAAATTGCTTTATTCTACCTTTAACCAATAAGGTACAGATGCTAAATGCAGTCATGTTCAACTTATTCAATCTAAACAAGTCAACAGCAATCCCCAGATAACCCTTCCAAAATAACACCACTCTAAAAAACATATAACGCTGGATTGCATGCACAAGAGGACCACCCAAAAAACTAGAATAAGAGGGAACCATCTTCCTATATCATGAGGACACACCATCAGCCAGGCTCAATTGGGGGATCTTGGACTTGATTATGCAATATGTCCACGTCAATAAGATAAAAGAGCTCAATGATTACTTTGACTTAATCACCTATATTTTGACTGAACCAGTATCAATCAAGTACAGCAGATACATGGAAGTTTTCAAACAATGCATTCTAACAAAGATTCTGCATGTCCAACTTGAACTGCATTCATAGTTCATCTCTGCAAATTTCCAAATCAATATATTATCCATATCTTAGTTTTGAACAACTTGCTCAATGAGCCTCCGTGTAATTGTTTAAACAAAAAAAAATTGTTCAGACCCATGTTGAGGCCCACTTAGCCATCTGATTACATAGCTCTGGTCTCCATATGCAGCTTCAGCAGTTTATTTCCACAAATCGAGAAACTTAGATTAAATGACAAACCCCCCACATTCTTCAACAATCTTAGCATATTTTAAAACTTCAATCTGCCAACTGTGCAAAGAGCAAGTGAAATCAGAAGCAAAATTTTTTAAAGAATACACAACTGCACGAAAACAAAAAGTGATTGCCTATTTAGCACCCTAGTTAGAAATTTTTGCCGCCCACACCACCCCCCCCCCAACAAAAAAAAAAGAGGGAAAAACCCCTTACGATAATAGAAATAGGGATTTAGAAAGATAAATGAAAGGGGCCAATGTTTTCCATATACCCCTAGTGCATAGGTTATTGAATCTCCAGCCGATGCCTTTAAACAAATTTAGTGCTTTCCAAGCCCGTTAAAAAAACCTAGGAGAAAAGAATAAGGGAAGAAAAAGAAAAGTGAAAAGGGCCAATGTTCACCATAAACCCGTAGGTTATTCATTCTCCAGCTGACACCTGTAAACAAATTTAATGCTTTCCAAGTTTGTCCCAAGTTACTTGAATCAAATTTTGGTGTGGGTGCCTCACTGACTACAACAATAAATTTACATCGTTGCGTAGCCAAGAGAGGCCAAGAATGAATATTGCTAACAGTATCACCTGTCCTATATGAAACATTTGTAAGGCATCTACTGGAAACCTCTGCAACATTTACTTGAAATCTGTCATTAACTCAACTGATTAGCGTTTATTTACTCTTAATGAGCCCCTCAGGGGCACTAAGAATACCCCTAATGCCATATTTTACCAGGTCACCGCAACTAATTAGCATTTCTCTACTCTTAATAAGCTTCTCAGGAGCAATACGAATCCCTCGTCACATTTTACCAGTTTGCCACAGAAGGACTTCATAGAACTCAAGTGTCAAATTGTATTTCGTGCATTTGGAGCAATATGGATACCCTTCCATCACTATATCCATCAAGGATACATCAGACCAATGGCAACCAAGTCAGCTTCAGAAATGCTAATGCTAAAACAATAAACCAATGTTCTCGTGCTCAGTAATTGGCAATTCATCACAAGGCTCTGGCATGTCATAACAGATAAAGTTCTCCACCTCTTTCAAGGGAAAGTAGTTTTTTTTTTTTTTTTTTTTTGGGGGGGGGGGGGGGTTGGGTTGAGGGGTTTGTAATACCATCTTAAGTAAATGTGTCATCCATGCACTAAACTGAAGAAATGGAAATCTTAGACCAAAAAAGACTGATACCCTTCAAATTTAGCAATTTAAATATGTTTTTAGTTTTAAAGATATCACAACAAGGAGACGACAGAAAATCTGAGCTAGATGGGTTATTCTTTTCTTTCTTTGCAGTCCAACATATGAATCTAAAGAGTGCCCACCAGAGGAAGGGAAAATTTCCAAATAAACAAGGAGAAAAGCGAAGCCAATAGTCTATGTCAAGAAGCCAAAGGGAAACAAGCAAAAAAGGAATGTCAGAAAACTCTAGTTCATTTAAATTGGAAGAGAATCTACAAGATGAACAATAATTAGTTATTTTGAGACAAGTACTGTTAAGAAATTTTAAATGACTAATGCATGGGAACAAAAAGCAAAATTACCTGGTGGTATCTGCCAAGGGATCTGAAATCTCTTGCACTTTTTCCATGGAGGTTCTTCTGAATGACAGTTATTCTGTTTATCAACAGAAGCGTCCTCTGGATTGGCTACTCCTACTGGAATACAACCAGATTTATTTGTTTCCTCGATTTTAGTACCTGTGTGCGCTTTGGATGGTGGTACCAAGATGCTGGTGTTAGACAATGCACTCTTGTTTGCACCTTCCGGCTGCATCTGTGGGCTAGCATCAGAAATGGAATTAGTTTTCCCATATTTACTCTGCATGAATTGAGCACGCATCTTTGCTTTCTGTATGTCATCTGCAGAAAGTGGACGGCCTTGAGGTGCAGTTGTAGATCTCGCAGTCTGAGTGGTCCTACCAGCAGATTTCTGCCCAGGTTGCTCCACCAATAGTACTTTTCTGCGCTCTCTATTTTCTGTGATTGGATAAGGAAATTAAACATCAAATATACTATAAACACATAGAAATCCAAAAGATTAAATAAATTAAGGACTGGCATGGTTCTCATTCAGCTAGTAGGCTGTTCAAGCAAAGTAAAAGGAAAATTACAGCATATAACAGCTGATACTGCAGAGGTTTTGTCTGCCTTAGTTATCCTCGAGTCTTTAAAGTCGAGAAAATCTACTTAATAAGCATTTTTCTCTAGTAATTATCAAATTCTCTTGCTTTTGGTTTGAGCCATTAAAGGAAATTATAGTAAATAAGATTCACAATCAGGTATCAAAATTTTAAGGATACGAGATGTTAGAGCACCACGAATAAGCTTCCTATTTTGGTCATCTGCAGAAGCTGTAAGCAACTTCGCTGGTTGAGACTCCAACTTCCTGAACCAAAAGACACGCTTAATATCTCCACCAACAATCACAAAAAGATGTGTCACCAGAAAACAAGCAAGTTCAATAACAAAAAACAAATACCTGAAATTTCCAAGACTCTCATCCATGAGAGTAGAATTATCTTCCTGGAAAGCCGGAATGAAAACCAATCACATATATTAACATGCTCTGAGCAAAATTATGAAATAGAACTTGGCAGAAACTTACAAGGACATCAATTTTGGAATCCCACGATTCATTGCCCATAACTTCATGGATGCTGCACAGGATCTTTGCATGAGATGAATAACTTTAAAAAAATGGAAAAGAAACAAGGAAATAGAGCAGATATTTAAAACTGATGCCCTTACCTTTGCTTCAATAACATCTCATCCTGAGCATCAATAGCAGATTTTGTTCCATTACTTTTTCTAAGGGTCTGGCTCCTGGCAAATGCTTTGCTCCATCTGGATAACAGAACCCTTGCCCTGTTTGAAACGTCTGATCTTCAAATCAGATAAATGAGAATTAAAATATAAAAAAGGCAAATATATACTCTTAATTCTTCATTATTTGTATTAGTTTTTGACTGTTTCAGAGCAGGGGTTAAACAAGACAATTACTAGCCTCTGTGTGTCTTAAAGATGCTTTAACAATCAAAATGACATATACGAAATACATCTAGCAACACCTTTGGTTCAACCTCTGCAGATAAAGTCAGAGTTTTTTTTTTAACCTAAAAGTACCAGTTTTTACTCATCAAAATGTTGATGGAAAAAGGTCTATACATGAACTAATTCATGGAAATCCTTATGCGGACTTGGTCTATGGCCCCAACTATAGACCTTGTCGCCACAAAGGGTCCAAGTTATCATTGTTACATCTAATACCATCAGCCATGTGCAGTAGAGTCACACCATACGATGTCAAATTGATAACTCGGGTACTTGGTGGCCACAAGGTCCACAGATGGGGCTATGAATCAAGACCACTCAAGAGCTTTCCACTATGCTCAGAATCCAGAGCAATTATGCTACATATAAACTTATGCATACAAACCTTTTATGCAATACCAAGAAATCATTTGCAATAACATCACACCTGATATCCTATAGAACCGCAGACTATTTACACTCTGTAGTATGGCTGACATATGCACAGGGAGAGCTTTCTGCAGCGGCAGATGACACAAGACCTGAACATGACCAACTAACCTTTAAAACCCACAGCAACTTTTCAAGTACAAAGCCAAAAAAAATCATTTATTATATGTAAAACTTGTACCTTAAGTATGACGCGAAGAACGCTTGTTTGTTCTTCCAGTGCAGCTTGAGTCAACCAGGTTGCTAAAATCATTACACCACCATTGTTTAAAAACCTAAAGATAATGTCCAATGAGCAAAGATAATTGACTTTGTAAATACTGCAAGGCCACATGCTTGTTTTGCTTAGTGTATCGACAGAGTCATTAAGTCAAGCTGCAAGTACCAATAGAGTACTGAAGAGTTCTGTATTTGCAAAATCCACTCCATCAACTTGACCTGCCCAGAGAAGGATTCTTCTTTCCTCATCAAGCTAAATATGTTGTCAAGAAAATATTTATCTAACTGATCTGCTGATGGAAGGACCTCATTTTGGGTCAAGGAAGTAGGTCCTTCCTCTGTGCTGGTTGGGCCCACACTATCCAAAGGAACTGGAGTAAGAGGTTCATTAGGATCACAGCCCTGTGGAATCCCATCAAGCA